TATACAAGGCCCAGGTGTGTGTACAAGGCCCAGGTGGTGTGTACAAGGCCCAGGTGTGTGCTACGGAGACCCATTATGTGATTGAGCCCAGGTGGTTGTTGTGTGCAAGGCCCAGGGTGTGTATATGAGGCCCAGGTGTGTGTATGAGGGCCTCAGGTGTTGTATTAGGCGGCTCAGGTGATTGTATGTTGAGGTTTGCCCAGGTGGTGTGTACGAGGCCCAGGTGTTTTAATTTTGAGGCCCAGGTGATGTGTACAAGGTTCCAGTTTTTGTGGGATCCCAGGTGTCAGAGTGGGCTGGGGCCCTGGCTTATTTCCTTGGGTTCAAGTGACCAGACTGAGCCGGAGGGCCTGGGGGACTTGGGGACCCTTCCCTCCGCGTCTCCTGCGCTCTCTGGCCAGGCTGGGGAGGACACGGTGTTCCCCAAAATGCCACAGGCCTAGGACTGGCGGTGGCCTGGTTGCCTGGCAGAGGTCAGGCGGGGACCGGCCCATGGGCTCTTGGCCCCACCGAGAGGTTGACCACCCCTGTCTCCCGCCAGCTTGGCCGCATCTCGTCAACCTGGAACGAGGACCGCTGATGTCCGGGAGTGCCTCCTGCTACTACATCAAGGGACGGGGCACCAGGTGGGCTCCCTGTGCCCAGGGGGCGCCGTGGTGGTGGGCCCTGCTGGGTGGGGTTTGCCCCTCACCCACCCCGGCGTCCCCGCACGCTTCCCGGGCTCCCCGAGGTCCCGGCTGTGGCCGCCCGGTGGCTCGCGGTGGTTGCTTGCCGGTGCGGGTCCTGGCCGCCCGTGATGGCCTCCCGCCCACAGAGGTGGGCAGGAGGACGGGGAGAGGCGGCAGGACATTCGTGCTTGAGTCTGGGCACTTCATCAAGAGGCACTGCGGCTTCCGGAGCGACTTCCCGCGGCGGGCAGTTGAAGGTATCGCCCTGCGCCACCCCTGCCGCGGGGCTGCTGGCCCCTACCCGGTTGGGGGGGCGGGGGCCGAGGTCCGGGGGCCCAGGGCCAGGCTGGAAAACTCTTTTCCACCAATACTTACGCGCCGGACGGGGGCGGGGCCACCTGCCCACCCTTTGCTGCCACCAGGCCGTTCCCTTCTGAAAGGTGACATGGGGCCGTCCCCGGGCCTGGTCCCACCACCTGGGTGCCAGCCGGCTGTGACCATGTTGCTGTCCCAGTGCCCTGGACCCAGCCCAGGGCATCTCTCAGGGGGCGGTTCCAGCCTGACCCATTGACCCATGACCCATTGCCTGCTGTCCACTTCGGCCACCTCAGGTGGTGGCCCAAGCAGTGCAGGGATGGTTGGCTCCCCCAGAATTCTCTCCTCTGCTCCCCAGAGCCCCTTGCCTGCCCTCTCCCATGTAGGGGGGCACGGGGACCCCCCAGGGACAAGTTTTCTCATCTCTGTCCCCTTGGGAGCCCGGGGTGGGGCCCTGAGGCAGCCAGGCTCAGCACGCCTCCTGGCTCTGACGTGGGCACAGGGTGCTCGTCCTCCTGGGGTCAACTCTTTTCCCTCTCTGAGTCGGGGGAGACACCCCTCGAGTTTCCTCTGAGGCCCAAACGAGTGTCGCCACGCTCAGGCTCTGGTGGCCAGGCAGGGGAGGGCGTGGGGTGGGCCCGCCAGGGGCCACGGGGATCCGAGCCCCTGGCATGGTTTGGCAGCCCCTTACACCGTGGCCCCTCTCTGGCCCCTGTAGCTGTGGTGGACCCTGGTGAGCCCTGTGAGGGGGGCAGACAACCTACGTCAACGGCACAAGAAGGTCACGGAGCCCAGCATCCTGCGGTCAGGATACGGCGGCGGGCTCAGGCGGTGAGCTTTGCCCGCCCGGCGGTAGTGGGGCCCGTTCCCAACAGGGCACCGGGTCAGCTCCTGCGGGCTCTGGGCACGGTGGCGCAGCACCCGGGCCTGCACCGTGGCCCGAGAAGAGAAGGGCACGTCACACCGCATGGGCTACCCGCGTCAGGTGCCGTGGGTCTGAGCGCAAGCTTTGGGGGCCGCCCAGTCCGGGGAAAGGCGCGTGCCCTGCACTCGGGGACGCCTCCTGGGTGGGGCTGGGCGGGGTCGCGGGCGCGGTGGCGAGGGGGTGGACAGCCTGTGGGACGCTGGTCCTGGCCGGCTTCTGATTCCAGGCGCCGTTGCCCAGACGTTTGTTAAAAATGCACACGTGCAACCGGCGGTGCACATGCGTTGACACACGGGGTGTCCAGTCCTCCTTTGGATTGAAGTAGAAAGATTGGGACAGGTGGCTGGTTGTGCAGTGACGGTGGTTATAGCCGGTATGGGTGAAAAGCCCAACCCAGAGGACAACAGGGGAGCAGCCACTCGGGTTGAGGTGGAATCAGGCCGCAGGATAGGACACGTAAGACGTGTGCACAAACTACACAATGCCACAAGGCCAAACACGCACAGGCACAAACACGCACACACACAGCATACACACATGCCACAGGCACCAAACAGACACGCACAGGCAAAACACATCATGCACAGGCAACAAACACACACTCAATAGGCACAATACCACACATTGCACCGGTACCAAACACTATGCACAGGCACAAAAACAAAGCACCACCGCCACAATGCACAGGCACAGGCACAAACACACACACGCACAGGCATACACACATGCACAGGCACAAACAAACACGCACAGGCACAAACGCACTCATGCACAGGCACAAACACACTCATGCACAGGCACAAACACACACTCAAATAGGCACAAATACACACGCACAGGCACAAACACACGCACAGGCACAAATACACGCACAGGCACAAACATGCACTCAAATAGGCACAAATACACACATGCACAGGTACAAACACACATGCACAGGCACAAACAAACAAGCACACGCACATGCACATGCACAAACACACACAGGCACAAATATACACACACACAAGCACAAACAGACATATGCACAGGCACAAATACACGCACAGGCACAAATACACACACGCACAGGCACAAACAAACACACACGCACAGGCACAAATACACACACGTACAAACACACACAGGCACACACGCACAGGCACAAACATGCACAGGCACAAATACATGTACGCATAGGCACAAATACACACACAGGCACAAACACACACACAGGCACACACACAGGCACAAACACACGCACAGGCACAAACACACACTCACAGGCACAAATACACATACATACAGGCACAAATACACACACACACAGGCACAAACATACACACACGCACAGGCACAAATACATATATGCATAGGCACAAATACACACACAGGCACAAACACACACACACAGGCACAAACACACACATGCACAGGCACAAACACACACGCACAGGCACAAATACATATACGTACAGGCACAAACACACACACGCACAGGCACAAACATACACACACATAGGCACAAACACAAACGCACAGGCACAAACACACACACGCACTGGTGGACGTAGGGGGATTTATTTCCCAGTTGGCTGCCATGACTGGGCTGCTCAGCGAAGCCTGGAGTCACGGGCAGGCAGGATCTCGGGCAGGAGGTCGCCCATCTGTGCAAACCCTCCTCTTCCTCCTCAGGAAGCCGCTGCCCCTCAGGGCTTCACCTGCTAGGACGAGGCCCACCCAAGTGGAGGGTCCTCCACATGGCCAGCCGGCTGGTCGTGGGGTCGGCCACGTGTGCAACCCCCTGCCCCACTCCCCTAGTGTCTGCTGAACCACCGGGCGCTACTGCCCGTCCGTCGCTGGCCGGGGTGATCTCTCGGCTTGGCGCCAGGGCGGCCTCCCCCACCTGGGCTTGGGGGGGCGGGAGCAGAGGGTGTGAGGGCGCCCGGCTTCCATAGAACTTTCCAGGACTCGGGGGTCCTGCCTTTGGAGTTCCTCGGAGCACTGTGGGGGGAGGGACACGCTGAGCACCCTGAATTCTCGGCCCCTCCGTCTGCTCACATAGGGCCGGAGTGGTCACGCCTGGGCGTCCAGTTCAGACGCTGCCCCTGCCCCGTGACTGTGGGGTTGGTGCCCGTGTGCTCGGGCAGGGCCTGGGCCGAGAGCGGAGGCTGGGCTGGGGTCCCTCCCAGAGTGGAGCTGGGCCGCAGGTGGGCCTGAGGATGGGGACAGAGGAAGTGACCAGCTGAGGGCAGCCAGTGATGGGGACCTGGGGGGCCACCTGCAGACAGGGGGCGGGGTCTGGGCTGTGCCCTCAGCGGGGAGGGGCAGGGCCCAGAGTCCTGGAGAAAGCTGCAGGGAAGCGAGGCCCTGCAGGACTGTTCACAGACAGCGCTGCCCTGGGGTGGGGTCCCTGGGTGCTGGGGTGGGAGGGGCTGGGCCGATGCCCACACCCTCGGAAGCCTGGATGCTGGACCCTGAGGGCGCCTGTGCTCGCTGGCCGCCGCCCTGCAGTGACCTGTAGCCTCCCGACCCTGGGCCCTGCCCGGTGTCCACTCCAGTGGGGGACAAGGAGGGGGGCGGGAGAGGCCCTGCACACACGCACAGCCGTGCTCTGCGTGGCGCTCCGTGCCCGTGTCTGGGCTCAGCCCTGGGGTGCACGCGCCCCAGAACCTGGACGTCCGAGGAAGGGGCCTGCAGGCAGGAGGCGAGGCTGGCCTGGGGGGGCGGGCGGTACCTGCAGAGCTGCGGGAAGGCCGGGCAGAGGGTCCCACGGTCCTGCTGGTTTGCGGCCGCCCCCTGGGTGGGCTGTGGAAAAGAGCGGGAGCCTCCGGTGCCGGC